AATGAGGCAACGCGACCTCGGCCCAGAGCAGGAGAAGGAACAGGGGGGTTTTTAGTCAGTAATAGTCTGACACTCCCTCCCGCCCGGAATTTGATGATTTTCCCCTCACAAAAAAAAAAAACCTTTGTCTGTATCATACCAATGTAAAATATACACCAATGGGTCCATATTAGTCACTTATTTTTACTAAATCAGTTGATAGTCATATGTTTGAAATCAACATAATTTTAAGGATTTTATTATACTAAAATGGTAAATGAAAATATAACACCTGTATTTGTCAACGTATTTGCTTATTCCAAAGTATCGATACTTATAGAAAAGAGCAACTTAAAAGCTATACTTACCTATGACTAACGTTTTTCCCCATGTATGTAATGGAAGGTGAAAGAGAGAATTGGGTCGTGGTGTCTCGGATGTTAAAGCGCCGCTCTTCGCGCATGGGGGTTCGGATTCGTAAGCTGGCAAGTACCAACGTGCCGCTTTCAAAGTTATAGGTATGTAGTTTCTAAGGTTCTTTTGACACCACTGACATACGATGATGGAAAATATCGTAAGAACACCGAAAATGTTTGAAATCGCCAACCCGCATTGAGCAAGCTTGTTGATTAATGATCAAACCTTCTCCGGGTGAGAAGAGGCCTTTGCTCAGCAGTGGGCACTTATTATAGGCTGATGATGGTGATGATGATGATGATCAATAAATACTCACCTACTTCACGCGACCCGGGTTTTCTTGCAGTTCCCACATGATTTATTGCAATATGACGTTTGATTGTTCTTTTGTTTCGTAAATTAATTTGTCTATGTGGGCGTAGGTTGCGTGTTGGACTATATCGTAAGACAGACGAGTTTTATTGTCAAACTTTTTTATATAGATTCGAATGTGTTTGTTTATACAAATATGGTGATATCATAATCAATATTGTATGTTTTGATTGACAATGCGAGTGATTTATTGTGTCCGCTGTCTATTCCGAGTGAATGATGCGATCATTCTGATGATTTTATTTTGTAAGGTTTTAATGTTTTCCGCATGTGTGTTGGTGTGTGGTTTTTGAATTTAGAAACGTTTTTTGGCGAATCGGCTCTAAAGATTGAGATGCATACATACATAAGTAGGTTTTTACTTTGGTGTAAAGTTTAAATTCGTTTTTATTATACCACTTTTTATTTATTTTTATCGTGATTTTATAAACAACTGCGTCAGTTGTGAAATTCCTTTAAATATCTTAATTTATTCTACTACATAAATTGCACCCATATGTAGTACCTACGCTCTAAGTGCGGTACACCCCACAGAGTGCCGGTCCCTCCCTCACGCACTCAATCCTGAAAGAAGTGCTATCACCAGAATCAGAGGCAGCATTATCTACGAGCCGCCGTCAAATCACACGCCGGATTGCGTAACATACTCACCCCCGCTTTAAAATGGAGTAATAAATAAAAGGTAGACGCGGCACCTTATCGCGCTCCGCTCGGCCACAACAGATGAAAGAATACACCATCCCTCCTCCTCCCTCCCTAACTCCTCGGCACCCTCTACACACCGCACTCCCCCTCCGATCTCTCGCTCTAACAGCCAGTAAACGCTGTTTTACATTTATAACTACAAGCCGCTTCACGACTGTACAAGTAGTACAACTTGCACTTCAACATTCTAAAACCAACTCTATTTGACTTGCGATAAAGTTTGATTCTGTGTAAGTGGTTGTTTACCGTCTTGGTCGGTCGTCATGGCAACGGGCGGCGTCGCGATTTTTGCCCGCTCGCGCCTCCTTCGATTACCTAAAGGTTTTTCCGATGTAAGGACGGTACATACGTATCTATCGGTTCGATAACCGGGCGCCGGCGATGCGTACAATGTTTTATTGACAGATCTGAAACGGTTCAAAATTGAGGATTGTGAGCATTCCCTTTGTTTGCTTGAGATGCGGATTTCCTTTGTACAATTGTGTCGGGAATGGGATTCCTCGAGGATGCTGTTCACTGAGGTAATGTTATTGTCTCGACATTGTGCGGAGTCTGATTATTTCAATAAAGATTGATATTTTGTTGAAATTTTCAGAGGTTTCTTTCATTTTTTTCAATGTATGTTTTATGATATTTATAGATTGTTGAATCAAGTCGTTCCACATCTATCACCTCCCGTCGGTATCTCACGGCTACTATTTATTCATGTAATGCGTCCTTCCCAATCGCGAGGTGTTCGGGTTTCCAACCAAAGTCGGAACATAATGTAATGTACTTTCATTGAACATTTAGAGGAGCGTTCTTGTGTAATAATGTGGAAGTATATACTTCCTATGACTTTATATGAACTCTGGAAGTAGTGGTACAGTTTGAAGATTATAGAAGCTAGTGATAATGGTGTCAATATACTTTTTAACTAAGTAGGTTTATATATTACATAAAAATTTGATTCAATATCTCTGGCATTTCTTCAAAACTTAGGTGATACATCATTTTGTAAAACTTTCTAGACTTCAGTCCTTTGAATAATTTACTCACCAAACCCCAAACGAACGCCGGTGTTTGCGCACCTATTGTTGAAGCCGGGGTTGCGGGGTAAGCGCAATGAGGCACCGCGACCTCGGCCGAAAGCTGCAGGAGAAGGAACAGGGGGGTTTTTAGTCAGTCAGTAGGAGTCTGACACTCCCTCCCGCCCGGCCCTGGGCAGGAGAAGTCATTTGATGATTATCCCCTCACAAAAAAATACCTATTGTTGAAAGATGAATGTTGATGAAATGAAACGTATATAATATTTTACTAACTGTTTATTTGAACCACATTACCCAGAGTGTCCACGCTCATTATCATCTAGACATGTTACCTTACAATGCTGTAGTACAGTACAGACCGCACATCAAACTACCTTACACTAAAATACATTTAAAACATTATTCCAAAGGTATAAGGTTGAAAATGTATTATGAAAGTAAACGGATAGCTTGATATGCTGTTTAAGTTTACTATGAAAAGCTGTTACAGACACTTAATAATGTGTTTATTAATATTTGTGTGCATTTATAAGCGAAGTAATCTCGTTACGGTCGAAGCTCATTCTCTATGTAATCTTACAGGTTTATGTAACAGATGTAACTTAGGTATATGTGCACCATTCTGTATTACTAACTTATTGTAGGTACTTAAAGAAAATATTGTTCAGTCTTTTAACAAATATTTGCAGTACATCTTCACACTTATTATAGATTGCAATTATGAGTGTTATTGTAAGTAAAAAAAAATATTAGTAGAACTTTTTATCTAACTAAAACAAAATCTAATATTATTTTCTTCACGTCTAAACTACTGAGCCGATTTCTGTGAAATTTGGTACGGACATAGTTTGGAACGTGAGAAAGGCCATAGGATAGTTTTTATCCCGAAAATCTCGCGTGATTGGGAAAAATATGGATAAAACCAAAAATCTGCAGGAAGTTACTATTCCACGCGAACGAAATCGCGGGCAAAAACTAGTAAAAATATATAATGGTGAAAAATCAACTGTTTAAGAACAGAATAATGCACATATACCCAAGTATATAGTACTGGCGTGGTATTCACTACTCGTAATTAGTTACAATAGTTAAATTCGTTTAAATATCTATTTACAAGTTTTTATATTTAAAATGTACAATATACATATTGCGATGCCTCCAGCGACATTATTGTTGTATAGTTTATTAATTATAATTAAATAATATTTACAAGTATTAGGAAACATACTGTACATGGCCTAACCCTAGAGGTTCGGTCTTAGAAACATTATCATTAAAAACAATTAAAAGAACTTTCTATTAAGAAAAGTATAATTTAAAATTTTCTGGAAAATGCATAACTAGTTACTAATATAATTTCAAGATCTATTCAAATATAACTGAAATACAAAGTTTTTTGAAATCTAATCCAACAGACAAACTGTGTATACAGTTTTGTTGGACATTTTATACTTTTTATAATGTAAAATGTACCTTTTAAGCAATAATAAATAATAAATAATAATAATAAAGGCCAAAGTGGGTACTGATTTGTAAATTAAGTTTTGTTCTGAGAATTAAAAATCATAGGACACAAGCTTACTCAAAAAAGTATAATTTGACACGATGTAATAAACTAATTAAAGATGGATAGAAACTATTCTTTTGTCTGTCTTTTAAGAGGTACAAAGATTTGTTTACATTCATAATACACATAAAGAATAGAATTTAGTATTTTAAGTCGCATCAATATCCATAAATTTATCTCAACAAAAGATACAGAAACGAAACATTTGAGTTTTGTCTCGTTGTAAACTTTCTTTTTGAATATATTTCAGTAAGTTTCACGTAACAGTTATATTATTATGTATGAAAAATACTGACAAATAATGGCTCGTTCACACCATTAGCGCTAAGTGTGTGTCTTTATGTGGTCGGGGCTAATGTGTCTATTTATGTGTATATACGGCCTGAGGTCAATGTACTCATGTCTACCTCATTTTATAAATACTATATGTATTTAAAACAAGGGAATAAGGTACATAATTGTCTCAGTAAAAACATAGTTTTGTGAGAAGTGAGCTGGCATATTATACTTAATGTATATCCACAATAACTTTTAACGTTTATCTGGCACTTTAAATGACAATTAACACGAACAACTTCCACATAAAGTCTACTATTTATATTCGAAATATAACTTTAACTACAGATAGGAAATTGGCACCGGTGTCAAGATTCATACAATGTACAAGTTAACGCTCACATAAAACATGTAAAATCTAAAATTATCAATAAATTACTTATAATTTATCACATGACTACTTATACTAGAAATATTTACATTCATATAAACGTAATTACTTTAATATAATCGTTTTTACATAGCACTTAGCGTACAGCGTCCACAGACACTCCTCTTAGAGTTCCAACAAACAATGTGACGGTGAGAAGGTATCGATGGAAGGAAATTAATAGTCGGGAGTCCCGGGTGGCCACTTCACTGTTTCAATGCTGCAGTCAGAAGTGATAGTACGCGAAGTTGATGGGCTGCTCGTCCTCCACACTGAGGCTGTCACTGTTCACATTGTCACTGTCACCAGACCGCGGCACGTCCTCGAACCTGCGCACCTGCCAGTTGGACAGGTCGCAGGGCGTCTCCTCCTCCGTGTAGCCGGCGCACTCCTGGTAGTAGGAGTCGCTGGGGCTGAAGGCGGCGCTGGCGTGCAGGCCGGCTCGGGCGGGCTCGCCCGGGGTGCGGGATCACTGCCGGTGCGGCAGCTGGTGGTGCATGTGGTGGATGTCGAGGCGCGGCCTCTTGGCCTCCTCCTCGTCGCTGCACTCGTTGTCGTGCTGCTCCTGCTCGTCGCACTCCTCGCCCAGCTCCTCCTGCTTACGTTTCGCAGTCGCCATCTCCGCCGCGTGCTTTTTCCGCCATTTCGTTCTTCTATTTTGGAACCAGACCTGCGGGAGAAACATACCGTTAATACCGTTGTCATAATATAGTTTTCAGTCCACGTCGTCGAATATTTCGATGCTGGACTTGTTTGAGTTGTCAATAAAAAGTGTCGTGAAAAATGAACATCAAAGTAAATGAAGCAAAATTAAATTTGAAATGTGAAGTTTCAATGCGAGGGCATTAAAACTTTTAAAAGTCCGTTATTCAGTAGACTGCAACGCAAACACAGACGGTCTGGCTTTAAATGTGTTCACACTAAATCGTGATGTTTGTTCACCAGCCAAGCCAAATATAAAGAGAACAGCAAACAATTTCCATCTCCATGAGGACCTAATCTGCGCGGTCGACATCATAATGCCTCATTAAATACCGCCTTTAAAGTCGCATCACGAACTACCCGCCGTCCCGCTCGCACACGCGTAAAATCTTTGCAGACGACAAAGACGGCGATAGTAGCCGTGTTCTACGGTAATTAAGGGTCGTTTTGCAAATTACACGGTACTTAACCAGCCATATAACGATCATTAATCACTGGCCCGGGGAGTCTGCTGTCCCTGTTACTCGTGCTCAGGTTAATATGTTGCGTCCCTGTCGCGCGGGTCTACGGGCGGCCGACACGAGTTTAATTAGGTCATAAATACGTTTTCATGATTAGCCGGAGGATGGTTGTCGATGGTCCTGAAGGTTGCCGGTGTTTGGAGCAGATGTTGGTGTCATTATAGGGGTATCATAGTAGCGCGGAATTAGCTCTCCTCGTTATGTTAACAACACCACTTAATTCGATCAAATTTTACTTGATTTTGGAACATTGCTCGATGATGTTTGGTGTGAGGAGTTGATACACTACATGTGACCTGACTTTCTTGTAAGGGACGTGTTGTTGGTTATCTCTGGCGGTTGCAGAAACAGTAAGTCAGGTTATCGTCTCAATGAAATTCACGCGTCGGAACGTACAAATCGAAAGATGAGGAATACTGACTGTAGAAATGATTATCTTTAACATCAATTAAAATAACACAATCCCTATTGTGATATTATACTACTGTAGTTTGATTCAAAATAAGGAAACACAAAATGTCGAACCACATCGAGTACATTAAAACTTGCTACTCAAAATAGCTACAAGCCAACACAAGTATTGACACTATAAATAAGTCCTGGTACACATTTACGACAGCGCGACATTACATAAAGTTATAAAAATAAATCGGCCGACTCGATACACAGTCGCTATAAAAAATATGCGACGGCAAAACAACACAATAGTAATATATACGTATTATCATTGGACCATTTGGTTTTATATTCGTACAGTTGATGGCAGACTTAGTTTATGACGCGACTTGCCTCGTCTTGACGCATAGCAGCCGACTCTGTTGAGTTAGCCCAAATGGAGACGGAACTAATGTTGTGTTACATTCCGGGAAAATTACAAACTGCTGGCCCCGGGGACGGAATGAAGGTTTTATGTGCAACGTTTGATATGTATTCTGGACTCAATTATATAAATGTTATGATGCAAATTGGCATAGTTATAATTTGTTAAAAATCGAGACCTTTCGATCAAATCCAAGTGTTTGGTACAAAGTCACTCCGCTCTATGCCAAAAGGAAGTTAGAAGAGAGGTAAAAGTAAGCCATTAAGATACTCTATACCAAGCACTGTTTTCAGAACAACATTACATTCATAGGCACTTACTGAAAATACATAATACGAGAATGTTCCCAAGTTGAGGCCGTGTCATCTGTGTAAGTGTATATTTAGTGCCAACGGGAGCCTGCGAGTAAACACCTCGGCCCAAACATACGCTCGTCAACCATTTTACGAGCAATCCGACAATTCCCGACAATTCCCGGCCATTCCCGATGATTCCCGACCCCCTTCACGCGATACCCTTACTTATAATATTATTTTCCATTTTTCGTTCATACTTTTATACCCGTCTTACCCTCCGTACCATTCAATTACTTAAGTGTTCGAAGACGGCCCGCTGAGAATACGCTCGTCTCTCTCTAACGTATGAATGGAGTAAACCTGTCTCTGTCGCTCGGGGTAGGGTCGGGTAATTATGTGAATAACTATTATTTTTCACAAGAGAGCTCGGTAATGGCTTGATAGGGATAATGGTGTTTCAGTAGCCATGTCGAATAAACAGCGGCCATGTTGTTATACAGGTAATTAATTTGAATGAATCCGACGTTTTGTGTTCCTTCGTGTAGGATTACGTTTGTTGCTTTCATAGTAAAGTTGATGCACTCACTGATTTAAGTATTGAAATTTAAAATTCGACTGTTTTCTATTTCGATTATAAGTTTAAATACTTTTTTAATTATTTCAATTCTACAACAGGTTTTATTAAATTGGAAATACAATACTGGATTTGTTTTTAACTACCGCTTACGCTAACTTCTGGACTTTAAAAAAAAGAAGTTCAGTTTTTTGGCCTTCCTTCTTAGAATAGTCAGATAGAAGGTTTTTCAGATATAATTTTGACTTTGTTTTATGGCCTATTTGTAAAAATAAATTCATTGTTTCATTAATGTGTTGAACTATCGCAAGAATGAACTTTCTTGCAATAAAGTTAAAATTCAAAATAGTAGTAGGTATCTCAACTAACTAGAGTAAAAATATTGAAATGCATATATAATATTACGGTCACGCGCTACCCCGGCTCTCTCAAGATGAGATGTGTGATTTATTTCTACCTACGTATTGACAGCTTGAGAATATTATATGTACATACTATGTATGTATGTATGTATGTGTATACAACTATACTAAGCGTCAGACGACAGTATGAAACTTGTAGACAGAAAAGAAACTTTTCAAATCTTTAATTTGAAAATTTTTGTAGTTACAAAAATTTGATTACATTATTTCGTTCCTTTTATGCTTTAAACCGGTGAAATATTGAGAAAGGTGTAAATATTGAGTACGACACCCACTTATTATAAGCTCTATATCCATGTAATAAGAAGTCAATCCTTTTCTATAAACCTAGTACCTACAATGATAAAATAATATTAAATACAACTGTGTGCTTTGAAAAATTAGCCCGTCACTCAACAGTAGCTCATTAAAACTATATGAAGTATGTGATTAACGACAATTGAGATTATGACGTATACTAGAGCTTGGTATAATAGGTATAATTAACGTTAAAAACGCGCAAAAAGTGCATATTAAGAACAGCGTATCCAGGGCGATACCCTGGCGACCTCTAGCCACAACAGCGGCGCGACCCGTAAAGCAGATGTAATCAAACGCTGCCACATAGCGACTAAATCCCCGACATCATTAGGCGGCGTCGCAGCGTCATTTGTCACCGGCGACTTATCGCACCCTTTGCTCCACTTAATAGTCGCACCGATTTGTCGCATCGGCTAATGTGTGCCGATCCTTGATCACCGTGATTTTTGCTCTCGTCATCTCATTAAAGTAATTGCGAAAAACTTACTTTAATTTAGATATAGTTTTTGTTAGTCAAACTTGACATTGATTAGTTATTTTTATGGTATGGTTTAATTAAGTGTATATGGTATAGTATGAATGGAAACATGTTCACTAATTTAACGCTTCATTAGAATTGTATGTCACATAAGAAGTGACTTAATTATCAGCATCGATCGTTGTACTACGCAAATGCTTGTTCTCTTCAATTTCGTTACTTCCACTCAATTAGGTTCGAAACAGTTTTTATATCTTTATCATAACACCTTTCTCTTTAAAGAACTAACAAAAATATGACCTTTAATGTTCGAAGTGCTATAAGAGAGTTCTCGATATAATAGGTACAGACTTTAGCTTGATGAAAAACTTGAAGTACCTGTCGATACCCTAATAATGCATACCCAATTTCATTTTTGAAAACCACCAAGGTACTGTATATCAATATATATCTTTTGAAATCTATTAGACTACCACTAGAATCCAAACTAATATTATAAATGAGAAAGTAACTCTGTCTGTCTGTCTTTTCTTCACGCCTAAACTACTGAACCGATTTATGTGAAATTTGGTACAGACATAGTTTGGAACTCGAGAAAGGACATAGGATAGTTTTTATACTAAAAATATGAAGTTAGTCACTATTTCACTCGAACGAAGTCGCGGGCAATAGCTTTTATAATAATAATCCTTAATTACAGACACATTTGGTATTATTATTTTGTTGTTGTAATCATCGTGGGAGCAAGTAGCGGTCGGTAGCCGTGCGGGTAAATAGATATAATTAATACAGCTACAAGCAATAACAGTGAGACACAGTGTAGCAATCAATAAGAGATCGGGGCCAGTGTGGCGCTGCTAATAGCGAAATAATCATTATTAATAAGGTTTACGCTTCACTTGCCGTCATTATGTTGTGGTCATTCCGCGGTCTGGCCCAAGGTATAAGCGCGTAGCGGGTTCTACAACTCAGTATCTATGTAGTCTTTCAACGACAAATTAATTTTCTTTTGAAGCTTATCATAGTGTCTTTTTGTACTCTAATATTTTATTTAGGGGAAAATCATTAATGACATCTTTCGCCCATGACTCCATCCCCGTTCCTTCTCCTGCGGTTGGCCGAAGCCGTGGTGCTTTATTGCGCCTACCCTGCAACCCCGGCTGTCTACCCCACGACCCCGGATGGTCTGTGCTGTGAGGAAAGCTAGACTTATTATTTCTAATTATAAGTTCTCTCTAACCTTCCATGTGAGAAGAAATCTTTGCTTCGCAGTGGGCACTTATAGGCTAATGATATGTGATGTGTTAAGATAGTTAGGTATGTTTTTATAATAGGGTCTGCTTCTGCTTTGTTTTAGCTAGTGGTTAAATGTGCTGTTATATAGATTTGTACAACACAAATATAGGTAAAATCAAAGTTAGTAGGTACCTAAATAATTATTATATGCTACCTTTCAATTGTGGTAATTCGAGACACAATAGTACGAAAATGGGTAAGCGGACGCCGGCGTTCGCTCAGGGGACTTGATAACACAGGAATAAATCGTAGTGTGGTGCA